TACGTACAGTTTATAATCAACTAGAAAATCAATTATAATGAATCATGAGGTTCATTAACTTGAATCTTACTTACTGCCTAACATGCATCTCAGTTGCCCACTTTCTACTCACCACTTGATAACCACTTATTTTTACGAGTCCTTCACAGACTCCTCTCTGCTTTACTTACTAGTCCATGTATTCAATAAACTTATCCTGTGCACCTAATTTCCTCACACCGGGTGTCAAAGACGTCATCAGTTTATCCATACACATGTCACCCTGTTCACCTTCAAAAGATGAAGCACATTGCCTTAACTGATCACAGCTGCTGCTTTACTGCAGGAAGCAGTGACTGAATCAATAAACCCTGTGCTCCCCAAGGCCTCTCAGGAGACTTGGTGCAGGTTTAACAGGACAGCAAAACAAGTAACTGATAGTGTGAGGTGGTGTTATCTGCAACATTCAGAGGAGCTATGAAGCATCAAGAGGCCTCGTTGCCAAGGAGGCAATCCTGGTGGGCACCATTTGGATCGTGGGGCCGAGGTGGATAAAGGTGTTAGCAGAGGCACCTAGCCTTCAGTTGGCTGTCCCCTGGACCTCAGGAAAGGGTCTTTGAGAGCACAGAGTCTGGCATTCTGTGCTCTGAAGAATTAAAGTGCCACAAATATCCACCTCGTGGCTGTGGAGATAACCTAAGCTTTGTTTGGTAGTGTGAGCAAACTCACTGAGACGCTACAAAACCATAGAGAACTTTTATCTTAATCCGGGGTTAACTTCAAAGCCAATTTTTTTTATTATTATTATTTCGATGTGTATGTCTTAAAGTTACTTTATCCTGAAGAGAAACACACACTGCCCATTGAAATGGAATTGTTGGAGCATAGTAGGTGTTTGCTTCATCAGCTGCGAGAAACGATCTTTAACATGGATTAGTGGTATGCACACATCTGCCTGATTGTAGGCTAAATGTCCATGACCAAGTTTTCTCTCCATCATTTTTCCAATGGCCAACAGTTAAGAATGTTTCTTAACAATGAATTAGTGGCAAGGTGAATGGATCGACGAATTGTGGTAGATCCATACAATGAAATACTATGCAGAAATAAAAAGGAGCAAAAGTGTTGACAAACAAAACATCCATGAATATCAAATAATTATGCCTGAAAGAAGGCAGATGAAAGTGAGTACATACTATATGACTCAACTTATGTAAAATTCTAGAAATGCTAACTAATCTCCAGTGACAGAAAGGATAGCAGCTACTGTGGTTGGGGGTGATGCAAATAAGAACAGGAGGAAGGGGTTATAAAAAGGCAGGAGGAAACTTCTGGTTACACACAGACACGTCAAAACTTGTTGTGGTGATGGTTTCACAGGTGTATATACGTCAACACTTATAAAATTGTAGCTTTAAACATGTGCAGTTTATTTTATGTCAATTATACCTCAGTAAAGCTGCAAAAAAAAAAAAAAGAGTGCATATATTGTGGTATAGTCCTTATTGCTACCTGAACTGAGCTCCTTTACTCCAAAGTTTCTTGGGGGCACAGCTGATGTTCTGCTCTCAATGATCCCAGGAGGATGCCCAAAAGCAGTGATAAATATCAGGGGAGTGGCCCTCTGGGACCAGAGTAGGTTCCCTGATTCTCAACTGGTCTCCTAAGGAGGAGAACCCCAACCCAAGCTACTCACAGGCTGTGATTGAGCTCAGTGGGTTAAGAGAATTTAAAGAGTGGAGTCAACTAGGGTTGTGGACATTCCTTGGTACGTCTATTCCTTTCTGACACCACTCACCATGAGAGAATTTCTAATCTGGTCGATTTCAAGGACATTAAATGAGCTGCATGGACTAGTGAGTGGACTAGGAGTTATTGTTCCTTAAGTGAACATATTCAATGCTTGGTCTCTTACATTTTTTAACTCTGTGCAACCACGTATATAGAGCCAGGACTCCTTTCCTGTCCTTACCTCCAGTTTGAGCTAGTGAATCACTCCTTTAAAAATAACACCCTTGTATAAAACAGGAGACCACCCTCTCAATCACTCCCTTAATCTGCTTACTGTTCTCTGTGTTCTTATTATCTTACATATGATATATTTACTTGCTTATTTCCCTTTATCCCTCTCCCTCTTGCAAACCCAAAATAGAGCATATGTAAGCATAAGGAAAGGGTCTTTCACTATTTTATTCATTGCTGTATTCCGAATTCCTGGACATAGTAAGCAGTCAATAAATATTGTGGAATGAATACATGCAGTATTCTCTTTTTGCTAAGACAGTAGCACTCAAACATTCCCTGATTCACACCATCCCTAATTTCTTCCTCTGCTTGGGAACAATAAATGCACTTAAAAAAAAATTCAGACTTAATCTTTAAGGCAGAATGAAATAAAGGGGCTGGTGCTCGTGTGGTTCAGAACAACACAGGACCAGTCTGATCATGGTGAAACCCACAGCCGTCAGTCTGGGTGCTCAGAGGCCACCATACATGAGCACTTAATTGACTCCTAACTTCTCATTATTAGGCTTCTCTAATTTCCAATTCTATAACAGCTCCACAACGTGTTAAATTATTTTAAAGAATGAGGCCAGACTGTTATATTTGATGTGTGTGTGTTGTTTTTTTGTTTTTTTTTGTTTGTTTGTTTAGAAATAATCTAACTTACAGAAAGGTTGGAAATGAAGTTAAAAAAAAAAGTTGTGTGTTCTGAATCATTTAAGTTGTCAAGTAGATGCCCCATCCCCTCCAAATACTGTCATGTGTATCTCTAACAAAGGAGGACATTCTTCTACATAACCACAACCGTCAGTGTCAGGAAACTAATGCTCAGAACATACTGCTATGCAATACCCTGTCCCCTTTCAAATTTCACTAATTGTTCCGACAATGTTCTTTGTAACAAAAAGATCGGCTTCGGAATTGTGTGTTGCATTTAGTTGTGGTAGCTCTTTGGTCTTCAATCTTGAACAGTTTCACAGCTTTGCTTTGACTTGCACAGCCTCTTGAAGAGAAAAAACCAGTTATTTTGTAGACTATCCCTCAATTTCGGTTTGTCTGATTTCCTCATTGTCAGATTCAGGCTGTGTATCTTTGGCAGAAATTTCACGGATATAATGCTGTTCTTGTCAGTGAAGCCTACTGGGCAGTACACAGTTCTGATTTTCTACATTAGTGGGTGGTTTTTTTTGTTTGTTTGTTTTTTGCCTTTTCCAGCAGTTTCTATGACTGACCCAAGATGACATAACATCACATGTTAGGCTACATGACAAGGGTAATAAAGGTTGCAGATGGAATTAAGGTGGCGAATCCGCTGGTTTTAAGATGAGGAGATTACCCCGGATGATCCTTATTGTAATCACAAGTATTCTTATATGTGGGATGTGAGGAAAAAGAAATAGTGGCCTGGTGTTGTGACATGAAAGACTCAACTGGCCATTGCTGGCTTTGAAACTGGGGGGAAAAGGCCATGAGCCAAGGACTGTGGGCAACCTCTAGAAGCTGGAAAAAGCAAGAAAATGGATTTCCCCCCAGAGCCCCCAGAAAGGAATGCAGCTGTGCTAACACCTCCTTGATTTTAGCCCAGTGAGGCCTGTAAAATCATAAATTTGTGTTGTTTTAAGTTGCCAAGTATATGGGAATTTGTAATGGCGATAGTAGGAAAGTAATACATATCCCCTGAAACGTCCTGGTGAGTATCCATCCAGCCTGAAGTTCTGCAGACTCCCCCCGAGCCAGGCCTGGGAAGACCAGCTTGCACTCGAGTCGCTGCTGTGACATGGCTGCCCCCTCTGGGCAAGGCTGGATGGGCTTGTATCTGGAACTTCTCGCTGAACACATATGGTTGGCTGGAAGCCATGGAGAACCAATATAGGATCACATTCTTCCTGAAAAGGAGTAAGGAGGCTGTTTCAGTCCAGAGGTGCAAAATCTTGGCTGGATTATCTCAGTAAATTCTCAGGAAGCCTGGCAAGCTCCCTGGTTTGTGGCATTCTCTCGGTGATGTAAAGCTTGGGCCTCTGAATGGACACCTCCTCCCTGGGAAGTCTGTTCAGATCAACTGGAGAAAGACCATGCCTTCTTGGGCTGACTTGCTTCTTCCACTCTCCTGGTTTCATTTTGGGGGAGCGGAGGTGGGCTTGGAAGGGTGGGGTTCTAGAAGCAGGAAAGCACCAGAGAGCCCTGCAGACTCGGAGTGGCTTATAGTCATTTGGTACCAACACCTTTTGTACAGAGGAAGTGACTTGTCCAGGGTCAATCTAAGCCGATCAGTTCACACCGTTTCCCTTTGTGCTACTTTGCAAACAGAAAAACTATCTGTTACTTTTTCAAATGGGGGTCCAAGCTTGCCCTGGAAAAGTATCCCAGAGAAGTCTGATCAGCTGAAGCGTCTCAGTAGAGAGAGTAATGTTAGGAAAAGTTCCGGGAACTGGGCGGAGGAAGGCCGGAGACGGGGCAGCATTGAGCTGGGGAGGGTGGGGGAGTGGGTTCCCTCTGCTCCATTTCCATGCACAACATTTTCCGCCTGTATTTCGGCCTGGTGGGGGGGGCTGGCCAGGGGGCCTCTCACTGGGAGTCCCGCCCAGGGTGGCTCTCGGCGGGGCTCCCCTATTTGGCCGCCTCGCCCGGGCTCTGGGCGGGGCCGGAGGAGTGCGGGGGCGGGAGTCCCAGAGGAAAGATGCATGCAGCTAGCTGGCTGGGAGACCCGGCACAGAAGGCAGAGGGGTGGGGACCTGGGGTGGGCTGCGCCCTCACTCTCCAACCCTTTCCACACCCCGCGCAAAGCAGACGCTGTCAGCTAAAATCACTCCCCTTTCAGGAGGAGGGAGAGGAAATCAAGGTACTTAGCCCCTTGCTGCTTAAAAAAGGGAAAGGGGACCTGGGCAGCTTTGCAGCCGCTCCGTCCCCCTCCTGGACCATGCACCCCTGCGTCTCGCTGCGCGGCCACAGGCAAGGACTCAATTTCTTGAGCTGAGAACTCAAACTTGGTGACTTTTCTTCTCCCCAACAACCGAATCATGCCATGCGCCCAGAGGAGCTGGCTTGCAAACTTCTCGGTGGTGGCTCAGCTTCTGAACTTGGGGGGCCTGTGCTATGGGAGACACCCTCAGCCAGGCCAGGTGCGCTTCCGGGACAGCAGGCAAGGTTGGTGACTTCACTTTATTTCCTTTGGGAAACCTTAGTGGTAAAATGTGTGAACAATTGGTGTCTCCCGTTTCCCTTCCCCCACTCGGCTGCACTCTGCAGAGCGTTTTGGTGGAGTTGTAAGGAAACCTGAGCTGGGAGCTTAGTGACGGAGGGTTTCTCAGCGTTCAGCGTTTCAGGTGATGGCTCCTTAATTCTTAGGGAAAGGTGAGTATGGTGATCTCTTTCACACGGATGCTGCTGCAGTCAGGACTCCAGAGGCAGCTGGTAACCGCCCCCGCCTTTCTCTTTTGTCTCCTCTGAAGGCTGCACTGTTTCAATCCCCCTACTTTTCAGATTCTGAATATGGAAAATGATTTTTTTTTTTTTGGAAAAATGTTCCAACTGGCTCCTGGCAGACATTGCAGTGTTTCTAGTTCCTTTTAAACTTCTGGTCAAGGAAGGGGAAATGTGATTCTGCCCTCCTGCTGAGCGATCTTGGCTGTGTTTTGGTTTCCTGGAAAGATTTAGGGCTGTGTTTTAAAAATACAGTCCTTTTGGGGAAAATTTAGCATCTTCGGGGCTCACCTTTCCCTGTTCTGCCTTCCTGATTACAGCCAGCTGCGAGCTTTCTGAGTTATGCGAAACTCATAATGCCATAATGCACTGGAGGAGTGGTGATGGACAATGTGTTATTATTATTTATTATTTCTACACTCACATCCTGGCAGGGTGGTGGTGTTGCCTCTGGTACTTTATTGGACTTGGAAGGGTCAGAGGCACTTCCCTGTTTGGGGGGAATTCATTGTACCTCTGGGAGAAAACAGTCATAGTAGTGGTAATGGCCTGCATGGCTGGAGAATGTTCCATGTGCCAAGACTGCGAAGGCTCTGTGTGTGTGTCAGCCCACTGACCACCCACAACAGCCGCCTGCGGTGCAGGGATCTTTGTGACCGTCCCTGCTTCACAGAGGAGGCAGCTGAAGTGTGGAGAGTTTGTGGTCCTAGCTAGTGGTAGAGTGAGGTTTTCAACCCAGGTAGCCTGACTCCAGAGGCTGGCCTCTTAAAATCAAAGCAGCACTGCTCTGTAGCAATAATAGGGACAGCGTGCGCCCCCACACCCCCACACATGCACGCGCACAGACTCCTGGGTTAGCGTCCCTTCAGTCCTGTGTCTGCTGACTGTGCTCAAATCTTAGGAAGCTGCCATCGTTATCTGACCCCCTTTGACTCCCCAAGACCACTTGGGTGGCAAGCATCACCAGCTTATCCTTGTGTAGGATTTCCACTCAGGGATTTCTGCTAACCTTGCAAAGCTTAAAGCTGCTAGCAAGCTCATCTGCTGAGACTTCAAGAGCCCTCAGAAGCGAGTCCCTTTGCTTTCCTTGGAAACTGGAGCCCGCACACACCGGGATTCGATGTCAATCAGCCAGCACTTGCTTGTGTAAATGGTCCAGATACAATCTTCCACCCCCAAGTTTAAAATAGCAGCGTTTGTTGTTCTTTGAAAAACAGCGCCTTTGTGAAAAGTCTCTCTTCTGGGGCAGCACAAACAAAGCCTGCAGCACTTCCCAGAGCGTTTTGGAGATGGCTTGGTTCAGACACACACTCTCCTGGGTTGGTTTTCAGTCCTGCTTGCTCTGTATCTTATTTGTAAGGTCGTTCCGCTGACTGTGGAGCAGACACCACTGGGCCTTGCTTTCTCCTCTCTGGAAAGTGGGAGATGGTTGTTTTCTCTGGTCCCCTTTAGTGAGATATACTGAGAGTATTTAATATTGAAAAATAGCTGTAAAGCGCTCCGAGCTTATTAGCAATGTGTAGACGTTTTAGGGTTTAAAAATAATTTCAGATTTTAAAAGCCTTTTTATGCAAACTATTTATTCTTCATCAATTCACCAGTGAATTGACAAGGAAGCCGCATTTTACGCAAAGGAGAAATTTCTGAGTAGAGTTCCATTTAGGACTAAGTTGAGAGAAGGCAATTTTAAGGCTTCCTGGGAATAGGATGACCTGGGTTTTGCTTCCAAATGACCTGCCTGCTGCTTCATGATTAGTCAATCTCCCTAGGCTTCCATTTGTACTCTGACAACATTTTTGAATTGCACCCAAAGGCAGAACACTTAAACTTGTAAATTACTTTAGATATTATCTCTCGCATCTGTCTTATTTTTACAGATGAGGCATGGAAGTCCTAGGTGCTCCGTCTGTTAGTCAACATATATTTATCGAGCACCTACCAACTGCTACTTCGCCAGAGGGGTGAAGGGAATGGCATAGGGCCCCACACTTGGAAACATATTCAGATCCAAAATAACCATGAAGATTTCTTCTAGTTCAAAGGGTTCGTTGGGCCCAGTCTGGATTTTAGACCAATGAAGGATAAGGAGATAAACCTAGCCCTTCTGAGACTAGAAACAAGCAGATTTGACAAACTCTGCTCAGTATTCTTTCTGTATTGTTCAGCTGTGGAACAACAGGTTCCCAACCAAGTATCAGAACAATGGGAAATACTACTGTTGCATACAGTATGCTGCCTCTCTCCTACAGACAATGATATCCCCTTAGGTTTGTTATTCCTTGTACTGTTTACAAGTCACCGGTCACTTCTGTGATCTCTTTTGCTCCCGACAACTCCATGAAATCAACAAGACAGGCACTTGATCCCCTGTGAGAGATGTGCTCTGGGCTGCATAGGCTGGTACAAGAGCGCTGGGAGTGTGGCAGTGTGTTTCAACACAAATGTTGTAATCATGTATTTATGCCATTTTCAAAAAAACAATAAATTCCGCCAGTAGGAAATGATTTCAAATATTTTCTTAATGTGAGAAGAGACTTCACAGTTTTGATATTTTATTTGTGTCAATAACAACAAGCAGTTATGGTCTGTATGTAAATTTTCATGGGGTAGGGGAGCACATCCAACCTCCTGTGGTATTTTTTTTTTTTTACAAGTTTGAGGGGACCAACAGTTCTCCACAACATTTCCAAATTTGAGGTTTTCTGTAATAAAAATACAGTCGAAAGTTACAACAACCGTGGAAGATAGTTATGAAAATAAACTTCCATTATAGGCGTTTCATTGCCCTTTTTCATTAAGGAGTCTTAGAAATTCAGTTGCTCTCTAAGATAGAAATAAATATGAAGAATAAGTATAGATTTAACCTACAGTTTATAAAAACTGGCAGGTAAATATTCTCTCACCTCCGTCCTTTCTTTCTAAGCAGAGCGCAAAAGAGCACTTGGTGTTTTTGTATTTTTAAAAGTGCTTGTGCCAGTAGGCTTAAAATTGCTCATGAAATATCAGAATTTGTGGTCAAGGATTTCAAATCGAATTTTAAACAAGGCAAATCAAAGCATTCAGGGCTTATAATTTACTTCCATAAACCCTCGTGCAGACTCTGATGTCATTACCGTGTGTCTCAGCCTCTCCTCAGCCTTGACATCTGGTGCTCGGTGGTAAACCCTCGAGAAGCTGTGAGGCCAGAGCTTTCAAGGATGGGCTCCCGGGTCCAGCTGCTCCAGCACGAATACTTACCCCTCTTTACTGGTTTTGTGTTTTTTTGTTTGTTTGTTTGATCTTTACACACAAAAGTGGGAGTGGAGGCTAAGATAAGGGATCCCCTTAATTAATACCTACCCCTGATGAGAACTGTCAGCATTAGACAAGACCAAGTTGGTGTAATCTTCATGCTGTGCTTGACCTAGAAATGGTAAAAATTAGGAGCTGTTATTATTTCCTGGCATCTTATTTCTCCATCCCTGTCATATCCCCTCTGAACTCTGCTTTGTGTTGGCCAAGGGCATAGCTACCTAATCTTCCAAACTAAACGCATACTGAGAGGAAACCAAGGTGAGTGTGGGTTTCTTCCCTACTCTGCTTGGAGGTTACATGTATTTATGGCCACCCCTGGCAGCCAGGTTTCTGTCTTTACTACCAATAGTATCTAGTGAGTGCTGTTTTTCGAGCACTGTTCTGAATCTATTACACAGATTAATAAAATTGGGCCCTCACACCACCCTAGGAGGTGGATACTGTTACTATTATGCCCAAGGTGTAGACGAGACAACTATAGTTGAGCCACCAACATAAACCGTGCTCCGTACATGGCCTCCTATTTCCATCCACACCTATGGGTTGACATGGCTTAGCTGCCTCCTTTGCAATGAAATCAAGAGGCAAGACCAGCCTTAACCCCCATTACTCTGCCTGAAAAAGAGGCAGTTATTAGCTCCACTTATTGCTGAGCAAATTGAGGCCTCTTAAGGAAGTCAAGCAGTTGTTTTCTTGTCGGGTCATCCTTGCTAGGGGCAATGACTATTACCTCTACTCTCTGCTATGCTCTCTGCCAAGTGCACCTGCTTATGTACAGGAAGTGTGGTGGTAAGAACATGATTTGGAAACAGGAAGCACAAGATTTTAATCCAAGTAATGTTGCAGATTGGCTGTGTGCCCCTCCCTTAGACTCAGTTTCCTTATCTATGAAATGGGGCTAATAATCTGTATCTGAGGGCTGTGGTGAGTATTGAATGAGGAGAGACTTATGGTGCCTAGATCATAGCGAATGCTCATTAAGTGGCTATAATAATTGTTATCAGTATATTATTTATTATACATCCACCTTATGCTGGCTCTCTTAAAAAGCCCATTAGATCAACAGCAACTTGGTCAAAACCTGTAAATTTGTCTGCTCTCTTTTATTCTTTGGGCAATAGGTGCT